TCTTTGTGTGCAACAAGGGCTGTCCCATGACAATTTCTTTGGAAAACCATACTCCATGAAACATATAGCCCTGATCTTGCCCCTTCAGACTTTTTTTTGTTCTAAAAATGCAAAGAACATGTAAAAAGTACAATATGTTAGTCCCTCAAAGATGCCCACACTATTGTTTTGACATGGTATATATCAAAGAACTCAGAATTTTTCAGGGTAGGATTAGAGAGATAGAAACACCGCTTAAGGGAGTGTATAGACCTAGATGGAGGGCATAGCAATAGCAAATAGCTTCACATTTTGACATTGTTGCTTAGTAAAGATTTCTATGATTTTGTAGCAATACATTTTTGGCTTATCCTCATGGGTTCGTGTTTATATATATAGGAGTGCTGGCATAGCACCATAGGACAAGCACTGGAACGCAAAGTCAGACTGAACCACAAGGTCGTCATTCAAACTCACCAGTTGCTCCTCAGAAACCCGATAAAGGGTCACCTTACAAGTTCACTATGAGTTGGATCTGACTCTACTGCACTTAACAACAACTATATATATATACAGATAGAACAATTAAGCAAGACAAGAAAGTTAGTGAACATAAAAATTTAAAGCTATATTAGATAGTGCTGTTTAATCACTTTCTATGACAATCACTATTTATGATTCTAAGAATATAATATTCATTGAAAGTACATTTTGGTAACTATTGATACACTCTATTTATCATTCTAACTTGAATTGTTACATGTTAGGCTTAGAAATGTTTGTCAATTAAATATAAGAAATAAACATTTCCACTAAAAATCTAATAATCTTTTTGAAGAGACAAAATATGTAGATATATTATTAAATTAGCAGGTGAACATAGACCCAAAAATGATGGTGCAAGGGTAAAAATCTATCTGAGTCATTCAGACAAGTTTTTCAACTCCAGTGTCTGTGTCTGCTTGCTTATTTATTCAAGTGACTTTGGTAGCATAGTGGTTACAAATCAGGCTGCTAACCTCTAGATTGGAAGTTCGAAATTACCAGCTGTTCTGTGGGAGAAAGACGAGGCTTTCTGCTCCAATAAAGATTTGAAGCCTCGGAAACCCTGTGCAGGGTCACAATGAGTGGGAACTGACTCCATGGTACTTAACAACAACAACAGTTATAATTGCAAAATATGTCTCTTTGCATGTCTAATAACTCGTTATATTAATTTTTTTTCTATTGGAATTGGCATTCTTATATTTACAGTAAGTATCTAGGCAATGACTGATTCTTTGAAGTGCCTAACAAATAATTATCAAAACAATGAATGAAGTTAGAATGAAAAGTACTCAGTTAAAAGTTAAGACACAAAACAGGATTGCTAAAATGGGAGCAAAGTGATTTTAAAATTCAAGTAGCAAGTCAACTTAAAAATTGCTAGAATACAGAATTCTCAAGACATTTAGTATTCTTAAACATATTATTGTTTATATTATATATTAGGAGTCCTGGTGTGGTACTGTAGGCTAAGTAGTGGACTGCTAACCACAAAGTTGGTGGTTCAAACCCACCAGCCACTCCTGGGAAACCCTATACATGGTTGCTATGAATCACAAGTGCATCAAAGACACTTATCAACAACATTATATTAGCATTTATCATTTAAATTAGAAAATAGCTAAATATGGCATACATTGAAAAGATAAACACAATATCCTATTTTTTATAAAACTGAGAAATTGCCTCTGAATATAATTGTCTTACCTCATTGCTAGAAAAATTTTCTACAAACTGTAAAGGGAAAAAAACAAAAACAAAACTGTCTTAATATTCTCTTGTTATTGCTGTTGTTAAATGTCTTTGAGTCAGTTCCAACTCATATAGACCGTGTGTAGGGTTTCAGAATAGCAGCTGGTGGGTTTGAACTGCTGACCTTATTGTTAGCAGTCCATTGCTTATCTTACAGTGCCACACCAATTTGTTACTGCTTTATGCTTGGGAAGTTTTCTTTGAATATAAATACCTTACCTCAGTGGATACAAAAACTTCCTCATTCTGTAAAAGAAAAAAAACACCATTATAAATGCTTCTATTTTTTAATTCATTATTAATCATGATTCCTACTTATTTTCACTTCCTTTATAAAGAACAATCTCATACATTTATTTGAGAAATAAAAACAAATGCTATACATATTCTGAAACATTTGTAAGATCATGATAGCACCTTTAAGTTTAGTTATTTTTATATTGGTATATTTTTATACTACCTATATATAGCATAAACTTTTGATGAGTTATAGAAAAGGAGTTATTATGATATGTATTTATAGGCATCCTGGTGCGGTGCTATAGGATAAGCACTGGACTGGTACCTGCTAGGTTGTTGTCATGTGACATCGAGTTCATAGTGAACTGTTTAGTTTCCAAACACAGCTGTCGAGTTTGAACCACAATCTTATCCTATAGTGAAACAGCTAAAACCCACCAGTCGCTTTTTGAAAACTTGATTATACAGAGTCGCTTGAAGCACTTAACAACAAGAAATCAATTATTGTGATTATTTTTATGATATTTTTGGTATGACCAGATACTTTGTGTGTTTTTAGACACACATAGACTGGATTTGATACAATGCCCTACAGTTATGAATGTTGTTGTTATTGTTAAGTGTCATCTAGTCTGTTGTGACTCATAGTGACCCTGTGCAGGGTTTCCAAGGAGCAGATGGTGGGTTTCAATTGCTGACCTTATGGTTTGCAGTCCAATGCTGATCCTATAGCCCACACCAGGACTTATACATATATTTTATCATGGGAATGAGATATTTTTATATAACTTCCACAGTCATGTGATGGTGTCTGCAATAGTTTTCTTTTTTGTTGCTTTCATGTTTCTTTCCCTTCCATATTTTCTTTGTTGCTTGTTAATTGTTGATTTTCCTTATGGAACTGGTAGCACAAAGGTATTGGCATCAAATTTAGTTTTGTGGTTCTGTAAGCAGTTGAGTTGACACACTGGAACGTCAACCATTTTCTTAGATGACAAAACACACACAAATAGACACGCATACCCCACACTCGTTGCTGTTGGGGTTATAGCTCATAGATACCTTACAGGACAGGTTTATTTATAAATCCTCATAAAGATTTGTAACCTTGGAAACCCTGCTCCATAGGGTTTCCAAGGTTATAAATCTTTATGAGGAGTGCTGGTGTAGCACTGTAGGATAAGCACTGGACTGACTGCAAGGTTGGTCTGAACCACAAGGCCACCAGTTCAAATGCACAAGTGACTCCTTGGTAACCCTATACAAAGTAGCTGAGTCAGATTCAACTCAGTGGCACTTAATAACAAAAACAACAAATCTTTATGACGTCTACTGCCTCATCTTTCTCCTACAAAGCAGTTGTACAATTAGGTTCAAACCTCAGACATTTCAGTTAGCAGTTGATTCCTCAGCTATTACTCTACCAGGGCCCCTTCCAGAAGCCAAAATATTTTGTTGCAATTCTGTACTTTTGGAACACTTAAAAATATTGGTAATATTATTCTTTACATATAATCAGATAGCCCATTACATGTTAATTATTTAGAAATGTCTATCTATACTTACCTCTCTAGCAAGAGTAAGAGCCACCAGGCAGGCGAGAATGAAGACCTTCATGACTATCAAGTCCTATGAAAAGTGAAATGAGTAAACATTAATTTATTGCATCAATCTGATACATTTTCTTATTTGTTCTTATTTAGGTAGGGCCAGTTTTGCCTTAAAAAAAAAAACCTTAAGACAATGTATCTTTAAAAATGTGCATTTTAGAAAAAAAATATATATATTGATGGAGACTTTATTGTAGGACCAAGTTCAAGATCTTACTATTCTTTCATATTAAATATAAATTTCATTGTCAGTCATTCAAATATTTTCACTTCTCCATGGCACCTAACAGCAACAAAAACACAACCTCCAGCACACTCTTTTCATCACATTCACTAATTTGCATTTTTGTAAAAAAGTATAAAGATATTATAAACATTTACAGAAAGTTTTAAAATTTATTCATTTTTGAGAAAATATTCCTTTAGCATCTTTCTTTGCCAGATAGTGTCCATGTACTAGAGATACAGTGATTGGGTGAGGCAGGGAGTGAGGTGGGGGTTCTAAATTCTTAACTCTGAAGAAGTCTCCATTCTTTTGGGGTAGACTGACCAACCAGAATATATATACGAAGGAGATGTTTTCTTCGAGATTATATTTTATTTTTATTTGTTCCATTTTCCTATTGGAAAGATTTCCATGAATATAGAGTTTAATCATATCTGCTTATTTCCAGTATGTTGTTGTTGTTAAGTGCCATCAGGTCGGTTTGGACCCATAGCGACCCTGAGTAGGGTTTCCGAGGCTGTACATCTTTACAGGAGCAGATCGCCTCATCTTTCTCCTGCAGAGCAGCTGGTAGTTTCGAACTGCTGACCTTCCGGTTCGCAGCCCGATTTGTAACCACTACGCTACCAGAGCTCCTTTATTTCCAGTATACTGAGCGTTAAATATATCCTATATATACTGCACAGTGGATCCCTAGCATAAGCACTGTATTGTGAATGAAGGTCAGTGGCTGGAGAACACCAGCCATTCCATGGGAGAAATATGAAGCTTTCTAATCCTGAAAAGATTTGCATCCTTGGAAATCCTACACAGGGTCACTGTGAGTCAGAACTGACTGGACATTTCTTAACAACCACAGCAACATACCTGCTGCTCTATCCTGATGCTTTCTTTAACTCATTGATTTGTTTGTCCACCACACCTACTATGGAGACTTTACTCCATAATCTAATGACATCTTTTCTCTTTTATGTCATATGATTCCCAAAAGCATATGTCATGCCACTTTTTTCCACCCTGCTAAAATGTGTCCAAAATCTCTTGATTATTTAACAAAACGTCTGGTTTCCTTTGGTTACCTTTTATATTCCTTTGTCTGCTACCTCTTCTAGTGAAATATTTGTAACACTTTTCACTAAAATATACTTACTAAATGATTATTTTTCCTTGCCTTTATTGCATTTTCTATCTACATACATAGTTTGAAAGTATTGTGTTTATGACATAATATTCTTTAGACCCAATCTTCAATTTAGGTTGGTAAGCTAAATTTGTGGACTAAGAATCTTTCAGTAAAAAACAAGTCACTAATTTACCTGCAAAATGTCCTTCCCAACATATGAAGGACTTAAAATAATGCTTCTGTATAATGCTTCTATTTGAGTAGAGCTTCATTCTGTCGTCTGTAGGGTCTCTATGAGTTAGTATGGACTCAATGGCATCTAACTACTATTACTGCTTTTTGGAAAAATAAATATGCTTTTCTAGATTTTTCCTGGGATCTATTTACTTATTTAGTTTACTATAATTTTCTAAATAAATTTGTATCATCAGTATTCTAACATAGAATCTGATACTCTGTTAGAGCTTATTACATATAGGGTTAATTCTGTGCATTTCTTTGTTTAAATACATGTTTTTAAGTCAGAACAACAATTTTTATTCATCTCAGCAATGTTGCTGTTGGTGTTAAATTCTGTTAATTCAACTCTGACTCCTAGTGACCCTATAAGCAACAGAATGAAACACTGCCCAGTTCTATGCCCTTCTCACAAGTTGATATGCTTGAGCCCATTACTGCTGTCACTGTGATAATACATATCATTGGGAAACTTCCTCTTTTTCATGAACCCTCCACATTATCAAGTCTAATGTCTTTCTCCAGGGACTGGTCACTCTTGATAACATGTCTGATAATAACCTGATAATAATCAAGTCATTGCTTTTTTTTTGTTATTTGTTTCTAACTTATATTTGTGTCATCTTAAATTTTCTTATAAGCAAAGACTTTGCTTACTTTTATTTTAATTTTCTATTTTCCTGGTGTGGCACTGTAGGATCAGTGCTGGACTGTGAACAATAAGATTGGCAGTTCAAATCCAGCTGACTCTCTTGGAAACCCTATGCAGGGTCACTGTGATATGGAATCAATTCAAGGGCACATAACAACAAAAAAGAATTTAGTATTATTTTGAAATACCGTAACCTAGGTGATAACTGGGGAGTTGAATGCTCAAGATAAATGTAATGAGTGCTCCCTTCTCATAAAATGAATTATTTTAAAGCATTTCCAGTAGTAAATATTTCCAAGCAACTGCCTTAGTTTCTTGACTCAATATGCTAGTTCTGTAAACTACCAACTGGATATAATTTTCTCATAGTAATTTATAAATACTTGTTTTTATGACTGTGGTGTGCTAAATAAAATCAGGAGACTTAATTCAATTAACAGATTTCCTCGTGATATAGCCAGCTTTATACTTACATAAAAACAAAAAAGAAATTACCAATAATACATTTTCCTAGACTCAGTAAGCCTACAGAGTCATTACAATTTTTATAAAATCCTACCCTGCACTTCTATTTTTAAATCTAAGTTTTGAAAAATAATAGTTTTACTATCTTAAGTATTCTTATTTAAATATATATATATATATCAAACAATTATATTTTTCTATGTATTAACCTACTTTGAAATCAATTGTTAGAAGGGTCTATATAGGTGTTATAGCTAAAATTCTTACCTTTTCCAAGATAGAAAACAAGAAGTAAAGCTGGAACTAAGTGAATGATCATCTGTCTGTTTTTGTGGCTGTTTATATACTTTATTGACTATCTGCTAATTTTGTGGTTTGAAATCAAATCAATAGGGAGATTCTATTCCAAGAAGTATGCATCACTAGAAAATGATTTCTACCTATTATCTGTCCCTAGAAATCTTCAGAGCATTTTAACAAGAGAGCAATTCATAAACTAATAAAGGAAGCTTGTCCAGTAAATGCATTTGTCCCCAAACTAAAGACAGTAACTGAAAGACAGTGGCTCTCACTCAATCATCAAGTCATTGTGCACACAATTTGGTCTTTTTAGCCTGTTTTAATACCCACTTGGGAGATATTCAGAAACTTCACAAAAAATAAATTTTATTCTACTGTGAGCACCCATGAGTGTTTTATCCTATGATGAAGAAATTAACAAGTAAACAAATTCATGGTGATAGCTGAGTCATGTAAAGCAAATTGCTTAGATCTCAGAATTATTTCTCTCAAATAATTTGTATGTTAGAGAAACACACCTTTGTCTCTATGGAACAACTCAGAAAAGGAAGCTGGAAGACTTGTATAGGCAAAAATCTGGATAAATTTATGACAAAAATTGTGCAAAAAGCCATGGACACTTATTTGACAAATACTAATTACTTTATTTTGTATTTAACACAAAAGAAGAAGAAGAAGGAAACAGATACTCTATTTAGTGGGATCAGCACTGAACTGAGAACCACAGTTTGGAAGTTCAAACCCATCAGTCACTCCTAGGAAACCATATACAGGGTTGCCATGAGTTGGAGGCGACTTGATGGAACTTAACAACATTTAGTGGTATTACTGCTAATCCCCTATAGAAACTAAAGACATTATAAACATTACCTTGTACAATTCCTACAAAACCAAAAAGGTCGTGAGGCATCTCTCTTCTCAATATTTTAGTTGAGCAAACAAATACAAAAATGTTACATAACTTGCTAGAAATCATCTTGTCAATGGCAGAGATACCATTAAAACCCATGCATGTTTTTCCATAGGAAAGATATAAATTATTCTATTTGGTCACATACAGTGAGCCAAAACTCATAGTTTAACTTTCTTGACATTTTGTAATAATAGTTGGCTGTCAGTGTACTTACTATTTTGGTTTCAAATATTCAGAAATTATGTGTGACTGGTAGAATAGATGTGAACAGTCCGCTAGGACCGGTACCTGCTTCACTAAGGAAATACTATTTCATTTGGGCATTGAATAAGTGGAATTTTCAGAGTTGAAGAGATATGAATAAAACATTTAAACTGAAGAAAATGCAGGAGCATGAAGAACAATATTCACATGTGCCATATTTTAAGAGGTAGGGCATAAATTAGTATTGCAAAGGACAAAAATTGGTACTTTTGAAATCAGACATGGGGTATGGCATACTTCATTAGGAAAAAGGGGAAATATTAGAGTTTTAAAATAAGGAAAGTGTATAAAATTACTTGGATTTTATGACTATATAACAATATCTCAGGTAATCCAGTAGAGGAAACTGGATTAGGATGTTTTTACATTAGAATTAGCTTGACAAGAAGATGACCTAACTAGACAAACGGTGCTAGGAATCTTAGACAATGGAGAGAGAAATGTGCAATTAAATAAGTATCTTGAATAATGAATAAAATATTTTGGGGTGATTGAAGAGTTGGCTGTGTTATAAACTAAAATATAAAGACAGTATGAAATTAGAAAGGGAATGGTGAGTTAAATCTTATATGTGGAATGTTTGAGGGAGTCCAGATAGCTGTTGTAAATTAAATGTAACGTCCAAGGGAGAAATCATTAAGTATAATTGTAAAAAATATATATATATTTTAAACAAAGGAGTAAATGAACCTCCCTGAGGGAAGAATGGCAAATGAGAAGAAAAACTGACCCAGAACAAAACTCAAATACCTCCATCATTTAAGAGATAGAGGAAAAGGAAATAGGAAAAAATACAGAGCAGCAGATAGAAGAATCAAAAGTAGAGA